AGTGACATATTGTGACCCTCAATATCAATCCTTGCTTGAAGGCAAACCTACCTCTGGTTGTTTACCTTAACTATTTCTCTGTTTAATTCATTTGAATTGGATTTTTTGTTCACTGCAGTCATGTGAAAATGTTAACTATTTTAAACTTCTTAGATCAGTGTTGTAGCTCTGAATATAGTCTGTATGACATTGTACGGTTATATTCTCCTATTCCTCAATTGTAGAATATGAAGCTAGAGCATAACCTTGTAGCACCATGCATAAACTAAACACTTTTGATGAGGGAAAAATGAAAAGGTAAACTATAGAATAAGGGAAATCAATTGGAGATTAAAAGAAACATAACATAAATGATAAATATGTAATATCAAAACAGCATAAATTTACATATTCAATTTACTTGATGACACCCACTGTTAGTTAGCATGTGGGTATATATCCTTACAGTCTTAATTTCTAATGTGTGACACATTCCTTTATCATTGGGTAATAATGTTCTCTCTTGTCCCATTTCCACCATTATAAAAAGTAGGTGAACAGCCTTGAGTGTAATATGCATATGATCAAAATTTCTGAAGAGAAATTACCAAATGTGGGTTTACTGGGTTGAAGTATATGAACGCTTCTAGTTGACATTTTTAAGTACTTTCTGATTTCTATCAAATTTCATTTCTACCAACAGTTAATGTGTACCCAATTTCAACTTACACTTGACTGTTTTATAAGCAAAAATGGCATTGGTTCATTACAAGCAAGCAGATCAGTCATTTTTATTTCTCTTTCTGTGATTTATCCATTATTATGCTTTGCCAATTTTTCTACTGGAATGTTTTCTTATTGGCTAAAAGAGCTATATAAATATATAATAATATATTATCACATTTTTACATTAGTTTTTCAATTTTGTCTTTCTTTTTCTGACATATACAAGTTCTAAAATTTTTAAAAGATTTTATTTATTTATTTATTTATTTATTTATTTATTTATTTATTTATTTATGAGAGACACAGAGAGGCATGTAGAGACATAGGAAGAGGGAGAACAGGCTCCCCACAAGGAGCCCGATGTGGGACCCAATTCCGGATCCCAGGATTACACCTTTAGCCGAAGGCAGATGCTCAGCCTCTGAGAGACCCAGGCATCCCCAACTTATATAATTTTTATATCAAATTTAACTGCCATTTCCTTAGTGGTTCTTTTTATCTCCAAAACGGGCTTTCTTTTCAGAAGACTTTAATAGATTCTATTTCCACTATTGAAAAATTCATAATATATACTTGCATATAAAAGCCTCTGAAACGAAACATCCTAGAAGAAATTTCTTCAAATTCTTAATTTAGGGTTTCACAAATTTATTTGAAAATAGACTCCACCCACCCCCACCAGTGCACCTGTTAACATCTTGAGGAGTAGTTCTTTTAAAGCTTGTTTGGAAAACAGAAGCCTGGAAAGTCCTTCCACATCGCCAAATTAATATTTATCTGTGTTTATTTCTATTTTTTTAATGGCTTTACTTTTTATATATAGTGCTTTAATCTACCTGAATTTATTCTGACACAAGTATTAAGGTTACGTTGATATGGAGGTTTCTGTTCTCTAAAGAAAATAGAAAGTGAATTTTGTCCAATGTCTTGTATTACCTCTGGATCATACGAGTATTCTCCTCTGACCTAGTTATTGGGTATATAACACTAACATATTTTCTAATATTAAGCATGCTTGATTTCATGAAAAAAATCTTAGTGGGTCATAGCACATTTCTTATTATATTACTGCCAATTTAAAATTGCTAATATTTTAAGATTCCTGCATCCATATTCATAAATGAGATTACATTATATTAAATGTAAAATTTACTGAGTTTTCCTTATTTTCTTTACTCTGAGATAGTTCATACAGAATGGTAATGAACTCTTTTATAAATGTTTACTTTTATTGACTTGAGGATTAGTCAGAAGGTAGAGGTCACCCAACTTTTTAAGCATTCTGTTTACATACCCTTCACAAACCTAGTAGTTTATTAGACCAGATATTTTACTCAATTGATGATAAACTTGAGCTTCTCAGGTTCCCTTAGAGTAGAGCAGCTGGGTGTTAGGCAAGGCTCTTCTGTGAGGGCCTATAGTTACTATGTTAAGAAAACCCAAAGTTGGGGTACCTGTCTGGCTCAGTAGGGTAAGTGTCTGACTTCGGCTTGGGCCATGATTTCAGGGTCCTGGGATCGAGCCCCTAGAGTTAGGCTCCGCACTCAGCAGGGAGTCTGTTTCTCTCTCTGCCCCTCCTGCTCTTGTGCACACATTCTCTCTCTCTTGCTCAAACAAATGAATAAAATATTTAAAAATAAAGAATCCAAAGCCCCAAAGCTATCTGCAGCTTTTTGTGATCACTCTCTTGGCCTTTGGTTGACACAGCCACATTTAATTAACGCTCAAAAATTTAGAAAGTAAGAAACAGATCAACAGTAAAACACACCTGTGTCATTCTGGGGTGGAGGTGAAGTGGAGGAGTTGAGAGGAGTTGTGATCATTTATATGCATTATTATGCTTACCAAATTCCCTTCTCCTTCCTAGCCCCTTAAAAGCAATTCTGAACATTATATAATCTTTATTTGATAATTTGGAAGGATCTTCAGAGACAGTGGATCATCTCTACTATACATATACCCAAGTGTTAAAAATTTGGTGCTGGAGGGAAACTAAAATAAGGGTAAGAGTTAGTTCACTGCCATGATAAAGGACAAGCAAGTAGAAACAGAAGTAAAAATCCAGACTTTTTCTATCTCGAGTCATATAATATTTAATACTGATAAAGTAAATTATGAGCAAAACACAAAGCCGGGCACACATAGAAATCACCTAAAACAAGAGGAAAGAACTCATTTTTTGTGTGTGTTGACTCAATGCTTTAAGAAAAAGCTAGGATCTCAAGTGAGTTTTTAGGTCCATAAATTTTTTTCTCTTCTAAATTACATTTAAATGAGAAGAAAAAGAAAGCAAAACAATAATAAGCTTTGTTGGTAGGTCTATACCATTTTCTTTTTCTTTTTTTTTCTTTTTTTACCATTTTCATACATTCTTGGGAAGAAGGTAGCAAACGAAATTTCTACAACAGTAAGTGATGCTTAGAGAAAAATGAAATCACAGAGTGATGCCAGGACTGATTATTCCACTGCGCTTTAAAAGAAGAGATTGCAGTCTGTGAGTCCAAAGTGGTTTCATATGGACTGCTGCAGTTGTGGTTTACGCTTGAAACTATAACCTGTCAAATTAGAAGCAGGCAGGGCTGATGCTCTTAATGGTTCTACTTTCTACTGTCTAGAGTTATGTCCATAACTTCAGCATTTTTTATTCAGTAAACTCTGTTATTTGGGTGAGTACAATCTCAAAATTGCTCTTTGTTAGCTTGGTTAGAGAAGATTTTAGTTATGATAGGAAGCTTAAAGAACTGTCAATCTGATTTTTATTATAAATGTAGCTGACTTGCATTGTTACCACTTTTACCAACTGTTGATATTTTATTATCCTAATTACCACTATGTAATATATTACTACAGGGAAGAGGTATATAACTGTTCCCAAGCTTTTCCTCTCCTGCCTTTCCAGATATTTTATTGATTTTAACTTGTACCTTGACTCATCATTTTTCTAAGCCTACAGTAGCCTACTATTATGAGCTTAGTGTTACAGCATGCTCCATTTCTTCTCTGCTCCTTGATTGTGGAATGCCCTTCCAGGCAGTGGGCTTGGTTGACAGAGATTTTCCCATCAAAATTGAAAAGATACTTCTTCTATTTTATTAATGTTTCACGTAGAGTCCTTCCTTAATGAATCTTTCTTAATGCCCATTAGTATAATATAAAAATGTTTTTTAAAAAAGCATAAACAATATTTGCTCTCTGTATAATGCATCATAAATGAAACCATGCCACTAAATAATCATATCCTGTTTAGTCCATAATGACATCAAAAGTATATGTTTATCATCTGCTTTGGACAACTTAGCATGATTTTGGCCCACGGCGAAGTTGAAATAAAACCATTTGCAGTTGCCCCAAACCAAGATAACCACACATTTCTAAGGTAATTGATACTTAAAAAGAACATTGCCTTTAGATCACAGTTTATGATCTAAGTATACTAATTCTTTAAAGAAGGTTGTTAAAGTTTATAAAGAATGTATGTCTATAAAGAATGTATGTCTATTGGACTTCTTCCAGAATTTAACATGAAATCATTATATTTTTAGCATGAATAGAGATTATGATAAAGCAGGCACTTAGCATGATCTTTTGGAGTTCTGGAATTACCTCTCTTGCCCAATTTAAAGAGAATGGGAAAAACAGATTTTTTTTTTTTTACATATAAAAGTATAATAAGAGTGATAAGAATACTGCTTTGTATTTTGGAAAGCACTCCAAAAAAATCAGTCATTATTTTTATTTTTGAATATATATACAGGGAAACAATAATTTTATGAATAAATAGCTTAGGCAAATAGAAGGCACACAATTTTCATATTTGTCGTGAAAACATATACAGGAAATCCAAACACATGTTACTACCTTTGTGTTACAGGGTTATGAAGCATGTAATTGCCCTGAATACCACCTCAGCTACTAAGTCCATTCATAGCCTGAAAGATAGCTCTTCATGCTATGTGCCAACGCAAAAGCGGGAAAAATGACCTCTGCCCACAAAGATAACAGGGGTGATCTGGAACAAAAAAATAAGTTTGGAATAAAATAATATCAGTAAAAGTTAGAACGAGCTGGAAGCTTAGGGAAATCTCAGACAACTGAAGTTGTCTCCCAAAGTTATTTTTGTGTGAAGGCAGAGTTGGACATCTTCTTTTGGGCTACTCCACCATACCATCCTGCCTTTGAACATGCAACCACTGTTCTGGGCAATTCAGACAACAATGAAAGAGCCTAAGAACAGAACCAAATGGCATAAGTGGTGCAATGGCTATATTACTGTAAGAGGGAAGAGTATACTGTACCTCCATTCTTTCTTGTTTAACTTCATCAATCTCATCATCTTCAAACATTGCCAGGAGTTCTCCTGTTTGGTCAATAGAGTTGAGAAAATCTTGGGCGATTTTCTGTCTTTTGTTTGCATTACTGCTGCCACTCAATTTGTCTTCATGAACATAAGGAAAGGAAAAAAAAAAAGCTTAACACTCAACACCAATCATTACATGTATTGAATACTGCATGTGAAATTCAGAATTGAGAGTTCTATCAAAATAATCTTTAAAGGGAGAATCTTTGCATCCAAAACAAAAGCATAAGCCATGCAGAATTAAATCATTTATTTGTATCAAAAAACTAAATTGTCAATTAACATAGTAAGTATGAAGGGACAGATTAAAATTCCTTAACAGGATGCCTGGATGACTCAGTGGTGGAGCACCTGCTTTTTGCTCAGGACATGATCCTGCAGTGCTAGGATCAAGTCCCACATTGGGTTCCCTGCATGGAGCCTGCTTCTCCCTCTGCCTATGTCTCTGCCTCTCTGTGTCTCTCATGAATAAATAAAATCTTTTTAAAAAAATTCCTTACCAAGAAAAAAAAAAAGAGAAAGGAATTCTCTCACATTTAGAGAAAGAATCCTGCTATAGGAAGCCTAATTAAGAAAATAAATAAAAACAAAGATATACATAAACAACATCAAGATTGAGATCTGAAATTAAAAGGAGTATGACATATTTTGCTGTGGCAATACATTTCAAGTGTAAAGGGACAAGATCTTACTCTTTTTCTCTTAAGAGGTAAAACCATCATACTTATTTAAAAGCAAAATATAACTTTAAAAAAAGTTATTGCAAAAGGTCAGGAAGGAGTGTAATATTGCAATAGGTTATTAATAGCTTAATACATAAATATCAGTGTGAATTAGGGAGAAAAAACTAGATTATTTTTTTAAGTTATAAAATACATGTGCAGATACCAAATAAAGAAAACCCAAATATCTTAGGGTGAAAGCATCCAATCTTTCACCATTAAGTAGGAATGTTTACTGTGGGTTTTCCCTACATGGCTATCTTGGTCAGTTTATAGACTATAATAAACATATAAATATATCACAGTCTGGATTGCTGAAAAACAAATATTCCTCACAATTCTAGAAGCTGTAAAGTCCAAGATCAGGTACTGGCAGGCTATCCTCTCCTATCTTCACGTGGCAGAGAGCAAAAGGAAGCTCTCCTGTGTCTCTTCTTGGAAGGGCACTAATCTCATTCATAGATGCCCCTCCCTCACGACTTATTCTGGTTTTCACATGAGAATAATACCAGTCTTGTAGAATGAGCTGGGAAAGGATTGGTGTTAATGGTCCTTTAAACATTTGGTAGAATTTATCACGAAGTCATTTAGGCCTGAGCTTTTCCTTGGGGAAGTCTTAAAATTACTAATTCAAGGAATTTACTTGCCATAGGTCTACTCAGGCTTTCTATTTCTTCTAGATTCAGTTTAAGTAGTTTGTGTTTTCACAGGTAGATATTTATAGAATTGGTTAATCATTGTATTTACCATTTCTACTTCTTTTCATTTCTTTCTTTAATATGAGCAGCCATCTTGTGTCACTCCCTCCTCCAATACGGCTTTGTTACTACCCACCTCACTTATGTTGTTACTGTCAAATATATTACATATCTACATGTTATAGACTCAACATTTACAATTATATATTGTTTTATACATTGTTTTTTAGAACCAGTTAAGGCAAGAAAGGACAAATATGCAATTATATCATCTCTTATATTTTACCTGCATAATTACCTTTACAAGTACTTTGTTTTTTTGTTTGTTTGTTTGTTTGTTTTTGTGTGTGTGTATGGAATCAAATTATTGTCTGGTGCCACTTGCTTGAGCCTGAAGAACTTACTTTCATATTTTTTACATGGATTTGCTACCAAGAAATTCACTCCAGTTTTTTGTTTATCTGGGAATATATTTTATTTTGCCTTTACTTTTAAAAGATAGTTTGGCTGGATATAATATCAGTTTTAGGTGTATGGTATAGTGATTCAACATTTCCACACAACATCCAGTGCTCATCATGACAAGTTTATTCCTTAATTTCTTTTAATTGATATTTTGTTTTGTGAGACACTGTAAGCTTACCTTCCTTTTGATCCTTAAAAAAAATGGTTTTCTTTTTTCTTTAAACACATTTATAGTAGCTACTTTGAAGTTTCTGTGTGCTAAGTCCAACGTCTGGGCCCCCTCAAAGGCAGTCTGTGTTGTCTGCTTTTTGTTCCCTTTTTATGGATTACACATTTTTATTTATGTATTTTTTTTGCTTCTCTGGTATTCAGTGGTTAATGTTGTGGAAAATGGACATTTTATCTTGTAGCAATTCTAAATAATAATTCCCTCTTCTTTCTATGGCTTGTTGTCATTGATTGCTTATTTGGTTGTTTATTTGTTTAGTGATTTGGCTAGACTGGTTCAATAAAATCTTTTTCCCTCACAGTATGTGGCTTCAGAAGTTGTTCTTCAGCGTGCACAGCTGTGAGCATGCAACTGGTCTCCTCAATACTTGAATTTTCTTAAATATGTACTTCTCCATTTGCTCTATACCCTTAGGACAATTTCAGGAGATTTTAAACCATTACTTTTTAAGATTTTTACCATTTAAATGTGGTTCACTGGGGTAAGAGGTTATCCTTGTATGGCCATTCTCAAAGTCCCACCTTAGCCTTAGATATATTTTACTGGAGTATTTTATCTTATAGGTTATATATCAACTATTTTAAAACTTCATATGCACAGAAAACTAGAAAATTTAAATGAAAATATAGATGAGATTGGAAATAAATGAGGAGAGGACATAAGACTGATATGATGGTGTTAGTACAATTGAATACTAGTCTCACCACTCTGGGCTTCTTGGTGTTCAAAATTTGGTATTAAAAGCTATTGTTTATTCAATGCCAGGGATGTATCAGGTGATTTTCATACATTATGTTAAATTCTCATGAGAACTCCACCATGGTAGGTGGTATAATTTTTGACTTATGAGAAAACTGATCCTCAAGATCACATAAAGAGAAAGCAGAGAACCAAGACTGACTGAAATTCAAGTCTGTATTCTTTATGCTCTCCAAAAATGAAGTGTTTAAATTCATTTGGAGAACTGTTCTTTAGAAATTCTATGCTATGAGAATTGCAGGAATATTAAATAGGTAACACTGACTAAACATTGGACGAATTTTTTTTCCTCTTCCTTTCTTTTCTTTCCTTTCTTCTCTCCTTCCTTCTTTCTTGCATGGTTATTACACTTGGTGACTTGTTGAAGATAAATCAAAATTTACTGCCAAAATTTGTTAACTCTTCAGTTAGTTTTGAACAGTTCTTTGAAGTTCTTAATCCAGTAGAGTTTGTCTATTTATCAATGTATTTATTAGCAATGGATAACCTCTATGCAGTGACTATATTCAATGAAAAATATGAATTATTCTAAAACATATGTATTTATTTGGACTCAGTATTGTTTAGTACATTTCTGTTTTTGGATTAACACTGCTTAATACTGCAACATTATTTTTTTCTAAATATTATGAAATGGGAATTGAGCTGGAAAATCAGATAAGGAAAATTTTCTATTCTGCGTTAGGCTGTTGGTAAGATGTCAAACAGCACAGTAATAACATTCCAAAATGAGGTGACTTTACATCATACTGCATATCATATACTTTCTATAATAAATTAAGAAAAACCCATATGTCAATTTCAGAGATATATAATAACAGTTCTGGCTTCCTACACCTACGACAGAAAAATTATGCTTGCTAAGATCAATTATGCTTTGAATCAACATATTTTCTCAGTTTCATGACATTATGATATAAAACAAGCCATATGATTAGAAGAACTGACATAACAGATTACTATGAAGCCATGTAATAGAAAATCACAAGATTTAACTGCCAACTAAATAGATATTTGGGTAATTTCTAAGCTACATTATTTCACAGAAACATACATTTTACCGTGATGGTGATGGGAATGTCCACACTGACATTGTATTAGTGTGTCACCCAATGCACACATGTCACATTGCTCGAACTTTAGTGTTTTGTTTAGATTACCTTCCAGAAGGTCATCTTCATCTATGCCCTTGACGATCTTGGATTTGTAGTCTCGGAAAAACATGTACTTTAGTAGTCTTCTAAGTTTTTTCTATTAAAATGTAAAATAAGAAATCTTATACATACATTCACTTTACTGATTATAGAATATGATAACAAATAAACTTGTATTCTCGGATTGCTCGGAAAAATACAGCAATTCTTAGCATAATACTGTGGAATGAGAGATGTCATCATATTAAACATGAAAGCTAAAATACAAGCATTTTTAAAAGCATTTTTCATTTGTAAGTATCCAAATGCTCCAGAATTACAGTAATTGCTTTCTTTTGTCTTATAAAAAGTTTTAAATTCTTCCTGAAGATTGTGATAAACATCACACTCTCCATACTAAGAGAACTCTCCCAACTTGATGGAATTTTGTACACATTCAAGACCAAATTTTATTTTTAAAGTGATTTATAAACATCTAGACAAGGATTTGGTACCAACTGCTTTAAAAAGCCAAACAAGTTTCCTTTTCATTATTTTTCATTTCATTATTTTTCATTATTTATTCTCTGGAAATCGTTTTTATTTAGAAGAGTTGGTTTATGTTTTATATTTCTGGAAAACATTGTATAATCTGAGAAATATGTTTTCATGGGACTCAAAGCTGATGAACGATAGTTGGGTCTTGATGGTTTTCTGTAGGTTTATTAGAAGACCTGGGACACCCGGGTGGCCCAGCAGTTTAGCGCCACCTTCAGCCCAGGGCGTGATCCTGGAGACCCGGGATTGAGTCCCACATCGGGCTCCCTGCATGGAGCCTACTTCTTCCTCTACCCGTGTCTCTGTGTCTCTGATGAACAAATAAAATTTTTTTAAAAAAGGAAGACCATAATACTGCTTAACTTTAAAGGTAACTGATAATACTTTGTAATTTGTTGTGTGCTTACACTTAGGTTGTATTATAACTGGTTCCTGACCTTTAGGTTTAAGATTCCTAATTATGGCTGAAATATAGTATATTTTACAAAGCTCTTTTACATGCATCTTATTTCATCAACCCTGAAATACAGAAATCATCTCCTTTTCAAATACAGGGCAACAGGCTAAAAACAGTCTTACAACTAGAGCTTAGTAGGGCCAGAAGTAGAACATAAGCTTTAGACTTCAGTTTCTTTATGATTTTAAATATCATATATCATTTTAAATGTACCTACCATACAGAACCACTGGGAGGGATAAATGAAAGAATGAGTGAAGGTGCCTAGTGCAATATAGTAGACAGTCGATAAATACTGCTTGAATATAAACTGAAATTATGAAGAGAAAAAACATGCACCTGTATATAGTTCTTCTGCTCCTCTTCTTTGCTCTTTGCCCTGATTTCATTCAATACTTTAGATTTTATTTAGTCTTATATTACACCTATGTAAACAACTTTAATTTTGTTTGGAACATGGCAGCATATAAGTATTATTATTATTTTGAAGAGAAAGAGGAGAACTGTGGCAGCTACCATATTACGGCTATGTTCTCAGCTGATGAAAGGATTCTGGTTAAGAGTCCTTTTGGACAAGAGCGGGGCATTGTCAGTCAATATAGACTCCTATAGTTTCACTACGATTTTAAATCTTGACTTTCCCAAAAGGAGGAAAACGTGTCAGTGTGGACTGTTCTACGTGTTAGCCTCTTTAACTCTGTCATGAAAAAGAAAGTTGATTGGACATATTCTATAAAGTAATAATACTAACTCCACTGCCTTCATAAAGGACCTTGGCTCCAAATCCTCATTTCTGCCCAAAGCAAGCTCCTTCCTCACAGCACCACTGCTGCACAGTGTCTATTACTCTTTGGTCCTCTAAGTATAATGAAGTCGCCAAATCTTGCATGTTTGCACTCTCTATCTACTATGTCTCTGAATTCTGCCTTCCTATCCACCTCCAGGGCCATCATGTTCACCACATTTTGCCTTGATGACTGAATCAGCCATCTTGGCCAGTTCTTTTGCATTTGGTCCATTCCACATACAACTGCATGAGTCTTATCCTAGGCAAAAACCTCAACTTTAACAAATCTTTCAGTCTCATCTAATCACACCAACTTTACACTCTGCTTCTTCAACTTTTTAAGCTAGATTATAGCTTATTGATAGTAAAGACATTTCTTTTCTTTACATTCCTCATATGATCGAAAAGTTAATGAAGTAAGAATTTATAAAATTTAATAGTAGACTGGCTACTATTTAATAGTGTAGTGTGTAGGTCTCTGAATCTCACTGTAGGAGGAAGACAAAATACTTGATCTAAGCTTAGTCTACCTTCAGTCAATAAGAACTAAAATGTTTCACAGATATAAAGTAACTGGATATTGGAAATGATGTTAACAAGGTTATGCAAAAGGTCGACTGGATGTCTTCTGATAAAAAACCGCCACGAGCAAAAAATGGTGGAAGAGGAATGAGTATGTGTAATGAAAAGGCCAGGGGAAAACAAGGAAGAAATGAAAGATGGACCATCAGAAATCAAGCACTACTTGCTCACTTGGGATAGCAGCTACCATAACAGGTGCGTTACTCAGCTAGTTTTTGTGCATGTAACTTTTAGATGACACTGTTGTTACCTACATGTAGAATACTGTAAAATGTTCTCAACTAGCTATGCATGGAAGATAGGACAATATTAGACAGGTAAATACCAGCTTAAATATTTTAATTACTAGAGCTCAAAGAGAAAGAAAGGTGGATCTCTGACCATATAAACTCTAGACATTATGTTTCTGCCACTGAGATAGTCATCTAGATTGATTTTTTTTTCCTATAAATTGGTGTCACAGAATAAACCTTGAAATAAACATGGGGACAGCCTGTAATCCTGTGGAAAATTAGAAGAAAAATATATATGCCACTCAGTTCTATTCCACTTATCAGAACAAAGTACACAATTGATACGTAGTAAACATTAAGTAGCAATGAAAACGCTGAAATGGATATGGAAGGATAAGTGAGAATTTATTGTCAGTACAGCTCTACGTAAGCACCCTGGCCCATGTAAAACAGGTACCAATCATCTTGGAGTAAACCATTTTGTGCAAACTATGAAGACTAAAATATCAGTTTAAGAGTCATATTCCAATTTGAAAGCTATATAACAAGGATACAGTTCCTTATGTAAGAGTAATTAAGCACCAAACATGGCATGTTAATACAATGAAATTGTTTTATACTACCTTATCTTTGCGCATCAAAAACAGAAGATCTTCAGCAGAGATTACTCTTGCTCCCCGAAGCTGAGAAACTTCAGCAGCTTGCTGTAACTAATAACAAAGAGAATTTAGTTTTTTTTCTCCTCAATAATCTAAATTAAATATACTACAGTCATTATGTCTCAAGAGAGATAAATATACTAAGAGTTAAAAACCTTTGGGAATAATCTGGCAATCATATTACTGTTTTTAAAAGTGAAATGTCTTATGTTTTAAAGTAAAAAAATGCAATTAAATTAACTTATAAGGCCACCTGTAACTGATACAATAAACAGAAATCCTTGATTCCTTTCATGCAAAAGAAAAATCATGTGCAGCTTCCAGAAATGCATTAATGCACCTGAAAATAATTTTATGAAATTTTATCCTCATATCCATGTGAGCAATGGTTTCACTCAGTATCACTACTTGAATAAGTATATTATTAATCTGAGCTCCCATGCTGGTATGATTTGAAATAGGCCCATTCAGAACTTTAAAAGATCAACAAAAACAGTAGCTGTTTCTAATATCCAAAGGAAAAAAAATAGTTCTAGTTTTGGCAAGTCTTCAGTGGGCAAAGGATTCAGTCCATAAATCATAATACTGGACTGCATTAATTTCTTTCCACACTAATCACATGCACACAAAAAGTTAACTGTATCTGGAATGCACAACACAAAACATACTGCATGAAAAGTTAGATTCCCCCTGAAATGTTCATCTGGGCCCTTATATCTACAAAGTTGAGAGTTTTCTGGAATTCAGAAGTCCCAGAAACACAATCTTACTTGAAAATGACCTGGAAAATGAAAGAATGTGAAAAATGATAGTTCTCTTTTTTGGCACTGGCAAAATCGGTTTCTTATTTTGATTAGTTGGAAGGAACATAAAATATGTCCAGATGAAAAAAATAAAAGATGCTGGAGAAAACACTACAAATATGTGCCTGTAACTTCTTCCAAATTTGATCAAACCATGGTGATTGTACCACACCATCTCTATCCAATATTATAAAAATATTTGCACATAAAGGCTATTCTTAAGTACATTCTTCTTTGAAAGGAATAAATCTAATATATTCGTAAGAAGTAATCTCTAAAAAGTGACACACTGTTATCTTAACAATTATAAGGAATCAAATAGTGCATTTGTACTGAAGAAATTCTGCTCAAATGTTTAAGCGATTTTGCTAAGTAAGCTTCAAACCTTGTCTAAATACACAGACTACAAAATAGACTATAAACTCCCTATGTGTCAGCCTTACCACTGAATTTCCTGGATACTGGTGGTTGGTATATAAACATAATTCTACCTAAATATAGAAATTTAAATTTAACTGTGAACCATTTAAAAAGAAATCTTGGGGGAAAGGTTTTAAAAAGATGATGTACCTACTCAGAAACTACAAGGTTTCGGCAGGAAAAATTTGAACATATTTTTCTAAAAACTGGAAGACAGTCAGGGAAATATGTGTACACATATTTTTTTCCAAATAAAAATATTTCTATCACAGAGTAAAATACACACAATCAGTGTGGAGAAGAATGTGGGCTCAGTATCCATTTAAAAGGGTGGACGCTTAGAGAGAACATACAGGGAACCAGGAGGCAGCCCTGTCAAGTAACTTTGTATTTTCTTTCATGAAGGATGGTGAGGATCTGACAACTGTAAAGTACTATACAGACAGAAGTAATTTCATCTACCTTAAGAAAGGATCAGGAGAAGTATATATCCCTGAAAAGTTCTGTATCTATAATCCTCTCCAAAATGTCAGTTTAACAAACATATTAACTAGGAAAAATTAGAAAATGGAAAATAAAGACATAGAAGAGGTAGACATTCTAAAACACCTTTGAAAATCAGTATATGACTACTGTAGGGATCTGGAATTTATGTCATGGTGGGTTGTCATAATTACCAAGAAAACTTAACTAGTTTTCATCTATCTGGTGCACTCAAATATAATCTCCTTCACCTAACTTTGTGCCCTTACTTGCACTGGCACTGCTAGAAAGGCTTTCAAGAAATAATTCCTCAGACTGAACATTATTACTGTGTTACTTCACTGAACCTATCTGCTTTGACGTGTGCCTCAAGCTCCAAAGCTGACCTCTCCCAAACTCTGACCTTTTCTCTAACATATGGGGAGAGGAGTCTTATCAGCCGATGACAGTGATCACATTCTAAAAGTGTGTCTTGAGCATTGGCTTCCTTCTAGAAATTTTTGTCCATGCCTACTAGAAAGAATAAAGAAACACCTCTTTAACAATATAAAGCTTAAAATGCTTAAAAAACATGTTAGCAGTTTGCCAGTCCAGTTCCACAGAGTGCTGAGCTAAGGACTGGTGCCTTTAATGTGAAAACAATTCTAGTGCCAGGAAACCAGAATCACAAAATATTCCTAATAACTTCAGTGTTAAAAAAAATTGATTTTCCTATTCTAAGAAACCCCCTCAATTTCTTAATCTTTGAAACTAAATGGAAGTTGTACTTTATTAGTCGCTGTTGCAAGTTAAATATTTCTGACAATATTTAGAATAACATGAAATAATGGTGCACTTCACAATTTATCATAACAAAATTAGTATATATTTAATTGTGGTATAAAATAGGCAAGAAATAATGGAGCAGATGAATACTTTAAGACCAATCACACACACACACAAAAAAAAGACCAATCACTAGTAGAATGAGTACACAAACTTCATTTTCTTAACTATATAGGTAAAGGTATGGTAACAGTAACCTGAAGAGATTTATTTGCAACTTAGTAAAATATTGTGCTACAAGACAATATTTTATCACAGTAGCAACTCAGGCATAGCATGTTTTTTTCTGATAAATATTATTTGTTCTTCAAAGTATATTAAAGATAACATACTCTTAACAACTTTTTAAAAGATGAAAGTTCCCTTTGCATATTAACACTCCTCATGTTTGTATTTTGAAATATTTTATGAGACTTCATTTGGAAGTTGAGCATAAAAAGGTACTTCAAACTTTCCATGTCATCTTAAATGCCTCATCTTTGATCCCGGAAATAAATCTCTTCTTAATTTCTCATTGCTGCCAATGACACTAACGTATAAACTCCTTTTCTTTTTCTCCCTCTACTACCTTTTCATTAGCCTCTGTTGATTCTGTTGTTTTGTTTTGCTCTGCTCACTCTTGAATTTGCTCTCTACTTCTACAGTATACCACTACCCTCATCTACATTTGTGGGGCTTTTTGCTTACTGCTTTCAAAATTTCAAGGTCTCCAAATTGTGATGCAATCTAGATTTAAGTGCTAAAATGATCTTGCTCAAATATAATGTCTATAATTCTTGTTCTGGATCTATGAGAAGTCACTATTATCTAATTTCAATGTGATCTATAAAGCCTGATCGATTCACAGATCTTTACTATGTCTTCATTCTCATTATGTTTCTTGTTTTTTCTTCTTATATTATTCTACATTTAAACTCCAATAATTTCTATTCTATTTTTACACTTTTGTGAATTTGTGATGATTAATTTTATGTGCCAATCTGATTGGGCCACATGGTGCTCAGACATTTGGTCAAATATTATTCTGTATTATGACTGTAAGGGTATTTCTGGATGAAATGAACATGTGAATAGATAAAATAAGTAGACTGACATTCCTAATGTGGGTGGACCTCAACCAATCAGTTGAAGAATTGAATAGAACATTATCACCTCATACCTGTCAGAATGGCTAAAATCAACAATACAAGAAACAACAAGTGTTGGTCAGGATGCGGAGAAAGGGGAACCTCCTACCCTACTGGTAGGGATGCAAACTGGTGTGGTAACCCTGGAAAAGAGTATGGAAGTTTTTCAGAGAGTTAAAAATAGAACTACCTTATGATCCAGCAATTGCACTACTAAGTATTTAACCAAATAGTACAAAAATTCAAAGTGAAATTCAAAGTGAAACGTGCACTCTGACGTGTATAGCAGAATTATCCACAATAGCCAAATTATGAAAAAAGCCCAAGTGTCCATCAACTGATGAATGGATAAAGAAGATATAGTATTACAATGGAATATTACTCAGCCAGCCATAAAAAAGAGTGAAATCTTGCCATTTGCAATGGCATGGATGGAGCTACAGTATTACTCTAAATGAAATGAGTCAATTAGAGAAAGACAAATACCACATGATTTCACTCATATGCTGAACTTAATAAAGAAAACAAACAAGCACAGGGGAAAAAAAGAGAGAGAGACAAGCCAGGAAAGAGACTCTTAATTATAGAGAACAAACTGATGGTTATCAGAGGGGAGGTCGGTGAGGAGAATGGTGAAATAGGGGATGGGGATCAAGAAGTGCATTTGTTGTGATGAGCACTGGGAGGTGTACATAAGTGCTGAATCACTATATTGTACACCTGAAACTAATATTATACTGTATGTTAACTAAAATTTAAATAAAAGCTTAATTTAAATAAAAACCTAAGAAATAACATAAAGGCCAAATAAAACGGAAGGGAATGCCTTCTGTCTATCTTGAAATGGGACCCTGGCTTTTCTAGCCATCTCACTTGGACTAAAACATCTTCTTATTTTTAGGCTAGACTCAGGCTAGAATTACATTTCACCTCTCTTGGGTCTCCAACTTACCAACTACAGAACTTGGGACTTCTCAGCCTCCATAACCATGGAAGCCAATTCCTTATAATCAATCAGCCCATCAATCACTAATCAATCTATCTACCTACCATCTTTCCATCCATACATCCACACACACCCACATCACCCCCCACACACCCTTTATTCGTTCTGTTTCTCTGGAGAATCCAAATACAGAACTATACTCAAATCACAAGAAATGGTTTCAAAATAATTTTCTCAAAGAAGATCTATGATCATCTTCATACAATAGTGTTTATTACCTAACCTAGGTAGTATAAAACTCATATACCCAGTTTACAATATATTAATTATACTTGTCAACGTGTTTCTTTATCCTTCAATTACTTAACACTCTCACTTCCTAATTACATTTTGAATAGTATCTCTAGGTTGAGGAACACCATTCCCCAACAGACAGTTTATAAATGT